CAGCCTCCCTAGTCTCTTCTACCTCATGTTTGGGCCTTAAAGCTACCTCAAGCATGACATCCATAGTCTCATCATCATCCTCCTCTTTCTCTTTCTTTTTTTCTCCTTCTTAAGTTGATTTGATGGAAGTCTCAATATGATATTATTGATAGACATATAAAAAAAATCAAGGTGAAGGTGAAAAAAATTTAAATTGCATCTCATCCTTGGCTAGGTTAAAGGCACCGAGCACATTTTTTTTAAAGAACTCTATCTTTAGCTAAAGGAGTTTATCAGAAGCCTTAAATTTTTTGATAACTTTTTTTTCAGATTTTTTCCCTCTCTCTTTTTGGCCTCTAGCTTAGACCTTAGCCTTGCTATCTTGGCTTGAGCATCGTTGAGCTTGAGTTCAGCCTACTCTCTAATCTAATCAACTAAGGCCTTATCAACTAGGATGGCCTCCAGCTTCATTGTTAACTTATCATTCATTTTTCTCTACTCAGCCTCTTTTTTATAGGATCTACTGAGGTTAAACCTGACATTACCCAGTGCATTCGAATGCTCTTCGATCAAGACAACCATATCATTCTTAACTTTGAAGAAAAGAGCCATAACAAAGTAGGCGTGATGAAAGGCTTGAATGGTGTTGTCCAAAGGTTCAGTGAAAATTTTCTATTATACTCCATAAAACGAAATCAAACTTAGCAAAATGAAAAATAATGATAAAATCGAGCTAAAGTCACATAGTACTTACCAATAAAAGAGACTGCGACCTTATAGAACCTCATTGGCATGTCAAAGTTCTTGGTAGGATCATCGGTAGGAGCATACTTTAACCTCACAGAGATTTTTTTCAAGCTAGGTCTTAGAACCCTAGTTTTGAGGTTTTCTAAAGTAGAAGAAAAGACCTTCACCCTTGGTCTTTTGGTAGGAAGGGGTGCCTATGTCAAAGAGAGGTCTCAACTAGCCTTGGCCTTTATCTTTTGAGCTGTTAGAGAGTATTGCATTAAAAGGTTGACAACCTTGTTCCCTCATGAGATGAAGCTTCAAGCTATTTTTTTTTTTTTTTAGCTTTTCTTACACCTAGAGGCATACTGGTACAGGGTGAAGTCAAAGTGATCGTTGGTAGATATCTCTGTAAAATCAAGCTAACAATTAGATAAAAATCAACTCAAAATGGAATCCTATTAAGTTACCTAAAATCTACCACAGTACTTCATCTTACTTATTACTTAAAGGGAAGTTAGCTTATAGGCATCAATTATAGGCTCCTCTCTATAGGTGTACTTTATTTTTTTTATCTCAATCTAATAGATCCAAGATAGAGATAGCCATCGATGCGTTCATAAAAACTTCAAGCACACTTTTTATTTCTTAGGCTTCAACTTTGATAGTGACCTCCATCGCAAGTTAGTTATCTTTTTTTTTTAAGATAAAAAAAGAGCAGTTTTCAATTTTTTATTGAGCTTGGGCAATCAGTAAATAATTTTTTATTGAGACGAGCTATTACATAATACCACTTCTTACCATTAAGGTGCATTTTAATAGAAAAAAAAATTTTGAATAGAGGGGAAAAAATAAGGCTGTTTAGATGTTGACAAAAAATGATAAAAGTAACTATGTATTAAATAGAGTTGAGAGTGACTCGTAGAGATCTTCTCTGAGCTAAGTCTTAGAATCTTAGCTTCGAGATTCTTTAAAATGGAAGATGAGACCTTCACCCTTAATCTTTTGGTAGAAATGGGGCTTGTGCTAAGAAGAAGTCCCTACCAACCCTAGCCTTTTTCTTCTAGAATGCTAAAGAGCGCTACACTGAAAGGTTGACAACGTTATCCCCCCATAAAATGAGGTCTCAAGCTGAATTTTCTTCGGACATCTTTTGGGCTTAGGGGTGTGTTGGTATAAGGCAAAGTCAAAATTGTTGTTGGTAGATATCTTTGTAAAACCAAGCTAATAGTTAGATAAAAATCAGGTCAAAATAGAATCCTACCAGGTTACTTTAAACTTACCCTACTACTTCATCTCATTTATTACTTCGGGGGAAGTTAGCCTATGGGCATCAATTACGAGTTTACCTTACAAGTATACTCTATTATTTTATCTTTATCTTATAGATACAGGATAAAAAGAGCCATCGATGCATCCACAAAAGCATCGGGCATACTCCTTAATTCCCAGGACTTAACCTTGGCAGCGACTTCGACTTCAGGTTGGTTATCTTTATTTATTTTTTGTTTTTGAAGACAAAGAAAATGTAGCTTTTAATTTTTTATTGAGCTGGAGCAATCCACGAATAGTTTTTTATTGGGTTGACCCATTACATAATACCACATCCTATCACTGGGTACGTTTTAATAGAAAAAAATTCTCTGAATAGATGGAGGGAAGAAATGATGTTTAGATATTGACAAAGAATGATGAAAGTAACTATGTACCAAAAAGAGTTGGAAGTGAGCTGGGTGATAGTTAAATTGTAAGAATTAAAAATTAAAACAAACAAATAGTGAAGTGAAAACCTCAGATCGGCCATGAAGGAATCTCAATATACATAAAGCCGATGTGGCTCCAGTCTATTAATGACCAAGTATGAGGAGTTCAGCATTATTATACTGTACCTCTTTATGGGAAAAAGGAAAGTTGTCGCCAAAGCGACGACGTGATGAGCTAAACACATGTTCGAACAATCTTTAGGATTTTCCCTGCCCTTTAGTTCACTCATCACATCTTTAAGGATCATACCGAGGTTACAGGGAGTATATACAGAGACTTCAACTAGTTTGTTTTGCTCCACAAGATTCCCCTCCTCACTGTCACTTTCCTTAGTTAAGGTACTCCCTTCGTCCTGTTCTTCCCTAGAGCTCTTCTTATTGCCAGAATCTTCACCACCAGAAGACTCTGATTCCTGAGTAAGAGTAAGGTCCCGTTGTCTGGTGGCGTTGCAGGAGTTTCTTAGCCTATTTTTAGGTGATTCTTTATTTTGATCATCCTTCATGAATCATTTGTTTTGTGTTTTCTTTCAGTCTCTTCCTTTCATCTCAATTTGGTGAGCATCTCTATATCCAATGATCTAAAAATGAGGAAAGGAGGACAAGTATTTAGCCAAACTTGGGAAGAATATGATATCTGTTTATGAAACAGAGACCTTTAGCCTTATTGACGAGAAATCTTTGAAGGTTGAAAATGTTGTGGACTTCAATTGGTCACCAACCGATCCAATTTTTGCACTTTTTGTTCCTGAACTTGGAGGTGGAAACCAGCCTGCTAGGGTACGCACTTGAGCTCTGTTTGAGAGGCTCCATTATTTTATAAGTTTAGATTTAGATGTCAACTAATATGCCACTTGCATGTATTCCTCAGGTAAGTCTAGTTCAAATCCCCAGTAAAGAGGAGTTGAGGCAAAAGGACCTTTTCAGCGTTAGTGATTGCAAAATGTACTGGCAAAGCAATGGTGACTATCTTGCTGTCCAGGCTGATCGTTATACAAAAACAAAGAAAAGTACATATACAGGCTTTGAGCTCTTCCGCATTAAAGAAAGGGACATTCCAATTGAGGTTTTGGAGCTTGATAATAAAAATGACAAGATAATTGCCTTTGCTGGGGAGCCCAAGGGTCATAGATTTGCTGTTACACATGGGGATAATCCAAGGCCTGATATTAGCTTTTACTCAATGCGAACTGCTCACTATAGAAGGCAAGCAGGCAAATGCCCTATTCTGGTCACCTGGTGGCCGTTTCATAGTGCTCGCTGGATTGGAGGGTTTTAATGGTCAGTTGGAATTCTTTAATGTTGATGAGCTTGAAACCATGGCGACTGCTGAACATTTTATGGCCGCTCATATTGAATGGGATCCCACTGGGAGGTAAGCCAAAGATAATTTGACATATATAGTGGATTTACTTATTAATGCACATTTGTTTTGTGTTTAATTTAACTAATATGCTCTATTATCAAAAGGGATATAAATTGTCTTTTTTTAATAAAAAAGATATTTTGTTTAAATTTCTATTTTAACAAGTGCCTTCTCTGTATGTGTAAGGTAAGTCGCAACATCAGTGACTTCAGTTCACAAAATGGAAAATGGTTTCAATTTATGGTCCTTTAACGGCAAGCTACTTTACCGGATACTGAAGGATCATGTCTTCCAGGTAAACGAATTATCCTAGCTAATATAGCATAAATGATAGATATAAATTTTGTTGACGGTGACTTTTGGCTGTTGGGACTTGAGTGCTGTGTATCATTTTCTTGGATTTGGGTTGTTTATTACCAGTGTTTGTGCCTTTGACAGTTGAAGATCTCATTGTTTGCTGGATATTTATTCATGTCATCTTGTATTGCAGTTCTTGTGGCGGCCAAGGCCGCCATCCTTCTTGACTCCTGAGAAAGAAGAAGAGATTGCAAGGAACTTGAAGAAGTATAGCAAGAAGTACGAGGCAGAGGACCAGGATGTGTCGATGCTATTGAGTGAACAAGATCGTGAGAAGAGAAGGATGTTGGAGGAGGAATGGGACAAGTGGGTTAGTGAATGGAGGCAGGCACACGAGGAAGAAAAATTGGAGAGGCAGAAGTTGAGGGATGGAGAAGCTAGTGATGAAGAAGATGAATAAGAGGCCAAAGAAGTTGAAGTCGAGGAGCCATTGGATGTGTCGGAACAAGTGGCATCGTTTGAAGAGTGAAGCTGTAGCATCAAGGCTTAACTAAACCAACCGGGCACTTGATTTTGTGGCTATTTACTTTTGTTTAAATATAAATTTTCTTTTTGGATTTTGATCATCACTTGTTTATTGCAAGCTTAATTTTGTATAAATGATTTTTCAGCTATAATGCGATGCAAAATTTATTCTTAAAAGAGGGGACGAACCGAAGCGGTAAAAGGACGGGCCTTTTGAAGGCCCAAGCTTCCCCAAGCGCAGACTTAAGATATGACTCCTATTAGACTTGTTCTTCGAATTTAAAGCCCAGACTAATGCATCAAAATCATACTTTTGAAAATGATTTGGGTTGCTTTACTAAGCGTGGGTCGGTGATATCCAGAAACCGACCCAGCATATCAAAAACCGGAATGCCAACATTTCTTTCTTTTTAAGTTTTCCCCCAACAAAATCTCTCACTTTCCCTGAAAATAATCCTCCAAATTAACCATGACTACCGAACCCGAAACCCGTAACTGGCTGGAGCTTCCTTTGGACGTGACGGCCTCGATTCTCTCTCGGCTGGGTGCAATTGAGATCCTGAACAGCGCCCAAAACGTGTGCTCTCTGTGGCGAAAGATCTGCAAAGACCCATTAATGTGGAGATCCATTGACATGCACAATTTGGGTGATGTATGGGACATGGAATATGACCCCGAGAAGATGTGCGTTCACGCTGTCGATCGCAGCTGCGGCCTCTTGGTTGATATAAATCTCGAATATTTTGGTAGCGATGAGCTTCTAATTCATATCGCTGATAGGTAAATTTTATTTTATTTTTTCAATTTTATAATCTCTATTTGTTTTTCAGGTTATAATAATTATAAATCATCAATTTTGATTTCTTTAATGTTAGTATCGTGTTTTTTAATTTGCTAGGTTTGGTTTATTAACAGTAAATTTTTGTAAGTTTCATGGATTTAGGGTTTCTTGCTTTAACATTTTAGGATTTTGATTGCCTTTTGTTTTTAAAGTTGGTAATCTTGCTGCGCTATCGGATTTATTTTTTCAAAATTTTCGATCTTATATTATTTTAATTAAAACATTCAATTAACTGGAAGGCCTTTTCTCTTTTCAGTGAGATCTATTTAGGCCCTTACTGCAACTCCATTTTGGTCCGATTTTAGGGGAACGAGTTAAACTGATGCACTTTGATAGTTCACGTTTCAAGAGTACCCAATTTAAATGACGATGTGGTATGATTATCAAAGAAAACAATTGAATAAAGAGTAGTGGATTTTCATGAAACTTCTCAGTCTATTTTTGGTTTTCTTTTTCTTTGTCAACGTGCAAGGAGAATAGAGGAAGGATATGGTTGGATTACTATTGGTTGAAGAATATGATCCTTCATCAAGCAACTGATATTTTTGGCTTATTATATATCACTGTTTTGGTGTTTGTATGACTTCCGTGTTTTCCTTAGTGAATTTTCAATTGGCATTCAATATTCACTTGGAGACTTAAATGTTCGTGTTTGTTCATAGCCTGGTATTTTGCTTTTGTTTCTTCAACTGCAATTAATTGCTCAAATAAAATTTGAAAATGATGTTCAACATGAACATTCAATAGAAAGATGGTTGTTTGTTTGCATTATTTTTAAGTTCAAACATCACTTATTTCCATTACCTTACAGTATTAAAACGGTTATTCATTTGTGTACAACTGTTGCAGTTGCCCATTTTTTATTCTTCAAATTATGCTTGTCACAGGTCTAGTCGTCTTAAGCGTCTTCGACTAGTGTCATGCTATAATATTTCAGATGAAGGATTAAAGGAAGCAGCTTTAAAACTTCCATTTCTGGAAGAGCTTGAAATTTCATACTGCTCCATTTCAAAAGATGCTCTGGAAACTATTGGGCGCTGTTGCCCTCACTTGAAATCATTAAAATTCAATGTTCAGGGATGTAGACGCTTCCACTTGGAGTCTGATGATGAAGCACTAGCTATTGCGCAAACTATGCCTGAATTACGCCACCTCCAACTTTTTGGGAACAAGCTGACTAATGATGGCTTGCAGGTCATTCTCGATGGTTGTCCTCACCTTGAATCCCTTGACTTGCGGCAGTGTTTCAATGTTAATCTGGGAGGGAACTTGGAGAAAAGATGTGTTGAACGCATAAAAAATTTGCAACGTCCTTATGACTCAACTCATGATTATGAGTTTGATGCAGAAGTTTTTGATACTGGGTCATCATATGAAGATTACCCATCTGGAATTTCTGACATTGACTTAATGTCTGATGATTACGATGATTATTTTGAGTTCTCAGGGGCCAGTGACTTCTCTGATTATGATGATGAATACGTGCTTTTTGACTGATGGTTTGTCCATGAAGTAGGGACTACTCCAGAGTAGGAAACCAGGTTATAAAAGTGCACTGCCTTATTCGTAATGTTTTGCACATTTTCTTTTTGGTTTTGTTTCTTACTCCATTTCTGTAGTTTTATTCTTAACAAAAAAAAAAAAAGCTTTTATAACTAAAGCGGTGGTCATACTGTGTACTTTTCTCCTGTTTTTGGTGTCAAAAGAATTTTGCGGCATTTTCGCAACCCATTTAAGCAAACATTGTGGAAAGTTCTTTTTTAAACAAAATGCCCTGGTTTTGTCTAATGAAAGCCATTGTGCTGTGTTGCTTTAGTGATGATTATGTTTGGGTGTTGTAGGTAAATAGGATGAAGAAGATAAAATGGAGCTGCAAATCAATGATATTATTGCAGTTCATCAGGTTGCTCTTGATCATCAAATACCAAGGTCTTCTTTGACATGGAAGGCTGACTTCTATTGAATTTTGTTATTAACAGTGTTCGTGATTCCTCAAGAAAACAACTGTTGTCCTTCAAGGCACCTTTGTTGTACCTTTTGTTTGGTATACTCTTCTATCTATAAATAGCTGTTAATTAATGTATACTTTGGAATCATGTGGTTGAAGTTTATCAAGTTTTCTTTAGTTGCTTAATAACCTGGGTCCTGGGAGATGCGATAGAGTGCGTCTATATTGCAGGCCTAAGTTGTGATTTATCTAATATGCGCGTTTCATATTTAGCATGGGAAAGTAACATGCCTTTTGAGCTTTGAATATGTAAAAGCTGCCCCTCTGTGGATCTTGAATTAGAAGGCTCTATCACCCAGCCCTTAGTCTTGTTAGTCTGGCCTTTAACTCTCATGAGTTGGGTACTTGTGCTTAACCCAGATGCTCGACATTAATACCATAATCTCGCAAGCGTTCTTAAACCCAAAATCGATTTTCCCTTTGTTAAAAAAGGGCTTATTAGTGACAACTAAGAGAAGCTCTATCAGCAGTTGGATCTCAAAACCCTTTTGCTTCTTACAGCTTAAGTCATATGAATAAAGAAACTGCATGATTGCAATGATGACATTACTTTGTTGCTGATGAATAATGACCCATCTGAGTCGCTCTCGTCTCAGCAACATTCATTGGGAGTAACAACAATAACAATGACGAAAGTTGACCTGAAGATTACTCATGTGAATGCGATTTTTTTTAATACAGTTGTGTGGGATGAAAGAAGGAGATAGAAGTATTGAAATTGAAATTTCAAATCTCATAAATGTCAAGTTTCATATATAATTTTATAAATGAACTGAATAGAGTATCGGGACGTTTACGTTGGCCATTTATTTCTGCATTATTGGATAATAATAGTAGTAGTAATAAGAGAGAGAGAGAGAGAGAGAGAGAGAGAGTTGCATGCGCCGCCGTTTTTGTCAGAGGTTGAGCAACCAACCGATAGGGTGGAGACTGGCGGTTTCAACCGGCACATAAGCAGAGGGAGATGGGGAGGGGCATCAAGATATTAAAAAAAAAGAAAAAAGGAAAGAAATAGAAGAATTGGTGGTGATGCCCAATCTATCAATCTGACGCACACCAAGCATCACCTTCATTGACTTGACTATCCAATCTGACACTCTCAAGACATTCATGATGCCACGTTGTGCTTCTGATTCCTTCACATTTGGACCTTTCTAGGTGGGGTTAATTGGATTGGGAGTTTGGGACTGGGATGTTTAACTTTGACTTTGACATTCACAAGTACGTACTACTTCACATTGCTAGAAAATCAGGCTTTCATTTTTTCTTCCAAGTTGTCTGTCCTGTTGAAACCCATTATTCAACAACTTGCACTACCAATGTTAATATATATAGTAGGCCAGTGGGGGTATGACACCTGGAATCATTAACTTTTACCAACAGTTTTGACTATTAATTAGTAAATCATTGGTGGAGCATTCAGTCCTTGGAATTTCAAAATCTTGTAGTTTTACTTCTTAAGTCAAGGGTTCAAGCTTGTTGACAAAGTTCAACATCGATCTGCCCAATATAGGAAGCAGAGACAGGTGGCATTTAGTTTTGCACAATCAAATTCAGCTGGCACTTTCCCATTGTAGAATCAATCTTCTTTTCTGATCTCTCTCTCTCTCCCACCAAGGCAAACTCTGCTCTCAACCCAACAGATTTTCTCAAATATTAAAGCACAGTTAGATAAGCATATGCATCTAACTGGTGAAAAAGAGTTTGATTAAATAGAGTCAAAACTACAGGATCATTTTATGGCTGGCCCCCATCCATATATCTGCCCTAAACTATCAAACAAAGTCATCCCCAAATCTCTCTTACCCATGCCATCAGCATTTTCTCTCTTACCCGGGCCATGAACATCACCGTTACCAATTGTGGAGAAACAATTAAACAAAACGTCACAATTATCAAAAAGTCATTAAGAAAAAAAAAACCGGTAGCCCACCCCACCCTCTCTTCTTCTTCACTCATGCACTGCCTTTTTCTTTTGCTTCTCTTATTTTTCAAACCAAGCAGCCAAGAAGGGGCAAAGGTCGGTTTAGGAATGAAAAGGGACTAATTACTAAACCAAACCAATTGGCAAGTATATATGAGTAGATAACGAACCTGATGGAAACAAATAGTCACGTGGCAGGCATGAGACGGTTGGCTTGGGGGATGGGTGGGGACAGCAATATGGTGGCATTATTGGGTGTCGGGTGCAGTGGGGGTACGGTCATAGACAAGGGCGGAGACAAGGCTTTTAAGGCAGCCGGTAGAGTTGCCTGTTTGGAAGGTGGTCACAATTCACATGGACAGCCCCATGTGATGTCCAAGGTCTCCCCCTTCCCCCCATTATTGCATATTAATACTATATATACTAATAGCTGCCCCCACAGTTTATAATGAACAATGTATAAGCATGTTTATTATATATCTACAATGAACATTACATGTATGTATATATGTGGACAAATTAATTGAAATTAAAAACAAAATTAATAAAGAAATAACTGAACCTTAAACTTCCAAAACATTGCTAAAACTTGGCTCATGCATGACGCAATGAGAGGCAGCAAGGGTCAAACGTTGAACTTCTTCCCAAAGAACAAGACAGCATTTGTGTGCATAAAAATTCAAGTTTTTGTTTTATCGAAAGGTAATGAATTTTGGGAAGACTATCTAAACGGTTAAAAAAGCTTTAAAATGATTCGCGAGACCCTCTTTGTAAATTGGAAACCATTATTATATTATACTAATTAAAACAAAAATTAACTTCTCAAATTGAAATTCTTCCTCATCATCCGAAATTCTTGCAACTGTTTCATGGAAGTCTTGTTTGGAGATAAGGTTGAGATTATCATAATCATTTATAGTTTAGTGTTTTTCTCTCTTGGTAGCTATCACCGCCAATGTCCTTGACTTTTAGTAAAAGATTAGGGAAAGATTGGTTGAATTAATTTTCATCAACAAAAAGTAATTACCTTACTCCAACATATGGACTTCAACGGTACACTTTTTACTTTGTTAAATTATTATTTTGTTTTAAATAATTACATGTGGCGCGAACGTTGCTGCAAAGCTTCTCAGAAGTAATCAAACGAGGTTGATTGTTGCTTGCTCCTTGGATGGGAATACGACGTCGTTGACTGCATCCTTAACCCTGGAATCTGCGGCGGCCTGAGCGACCTTATAAGCGCGAAATTGAGTCCTTTAAAAAAAAGGTGCGTTTTGACGTGGGCAGCTCCTCGTTTGGATCCCTACCGATTGTTGGGGTCTTTGTTTAGCAATCCGGAGATGAGGTCTTGTGCGTGGTGCTTAAGATGGGAAGAAGGCGAGTGGGTTGGGAAAGTGAGTAGCCTTTTCACAATGTTGCGCAGCGTAAGCTCGTTCGATGGAGCAGCAAATGGTATCCCCCCGTATATCATCTCGTAGATAATGATCCCGAGGGCCCACCAGTCAACAGCGCTACCGTGGAACTCACCTGCTGCCACCTCGGGAGAAACGAACTCATGGGTCCCAACGAAGGAGGGTGACCGGGCAGTGACGGGCTCTGCCACGAAGAAGAGCTTGCTTGGGGTGAGCGTTTGGATCTTCTTTGACCGGAAGAGCGTGTGGAAGAGGCAGGAGAGACGTGTTGGGTTGGGACGACTGCAGGGCTGGTTTTGAGGAGACGTGGGATCCGGAGACGATGATGGTGATTCAACTGCTGGGATCGCATCTGAGCAAAGTGAAAGGTCGAAATCTGAGAGCATGATGTGACCGTCTGATCTTACCAAAACGTTTTCCGGTTTTAGGTCTCTGTAAATAATAACCAGCATGTGAAGGTACTCTAGAACTACAAGAACCTCAGTTGCATAAAACCTGGAAAAAATATTAACACTCCTGAATCCTAAATCCACAGTTAAATAAACCTATTGCTAAAAAAAATTACTTGTGAAAGCTGGAGCAACCGAAATTATATAAAAAATGAAGAAAGAGGAAAAAGATAAAAGTTGATTATTGGAGTCTTTGCATAGTTGAAACAGACAAAGATATGAACAAGTCAGGCTATGCGTTTGCAACACAACACAAGAAAACGAAACACCCAGATTAAAGCATGCAACAAAGACCAATGTAATGTACAACTTCAAAACCTGTCAGCTATGGAAGTAAATAAAAAAATAGTACCTTGCAGAGATCGAAGAGAAGCGTTTTTGAGGCTGCTTATGTCTAAGAGAATGCAAGTTACCTCCTGAACAGTACTCCATAACTATGCTCGAGAAATGAAAAGCTTCGAATTCAGCGTACAAAGTAGGCAAAACGGATGATCCAGCATCTTCAAGATCTTCTTCTCCATTTCAGCACGTTGCATTTTTTTCTTCATCGCTAACGCTTCCTTATCCACCACCTTCATCGCATAATATCAATTTTCATCCACGTTGGCCAGCCGGCAGAGATATACAGTTCCGATGTCTCCCAAGCCGACGAGGAGGAGAAGTCGGAAATCACGGAAGCTAGCGGAGCGTAGAGCGGAGTAAGCGAAGTCGGAAAAACGATGGGGTTTGAGAGAAAGGTTCTCTGGAGACGACCGAGATGTGGGGAGCAGCTCAAAAGAGAGACGACTAAAGCGGCTACAGCTTTCACTACTCATTGAACTTTGACTTGTTGAATTCCTTGTTTCTGAACTTAGCTCACTTTCTGACTTCCGTTTGCACTCAAACGTTTTATGTTTCTCAACCTGATTTGCTCACTTTTTTCTCTCTTGTAAGAGAGAAGAAAAAAAATCATTGAACAAGATGAAGTAAAAAAAAAAAAAAAGTGGATAACAGAAGCAGGGTTTTGAAGCAGAGCAGGCTTTATGAGGCCTGGGACTTTAAAATTAGGGTTTCTGAGCAATAGAGCTAATTTCTCAGACAAATGTTAGGAAAATGATAAAAGGGGTTTGGCCTGTCTTTGGTTTCTTTGTTATAGTAGTAGTAGTTTGGTTAGCGTCCTGAGGTACAGCGAAAGAGCGAGAGAGACGGTAAAATAGAAACGAAAGGGTGGTGGTTGGGTGTATTTATGGTGGTGAATTTAGGGAGGCAGTACTTCGCCGTTAATGGTGGTAAGCACAGTACACGTGAGGG